ATATTACAATAATGTTTCCAAACAAAAATCACATTTACGGTTAGAATTTGGTTTGTTCAGATAGCAAATGAGAAACATTTTCCATCTTGCGCCTTTGATTTTCTCTGTCAACATGGTGAAAAATGAACATCAATTAGACTCCAGTAATAATTAGAAAATCCAACAAACAAATGAAAAATTTCAAACAAATTTCTACTGGTGTATGACCAGCTTTACGGAATGCCTGATAAAATTCAAGTGTATTGCTTTCAATTTAAGCCTCCAGATAAAAAAAAAAACAGCTTTATCCTGCCTTATTATCAGGACGGCCCTGGTTATGCCACTCCAAGGTGAAGTAGTAAATGGGAAATGCATCATCTGTTCTGCTTATAACTTCAGATTCCCATCTCTGGATCCAATGATCATTTTGTCATAAGATTTTCACTAAAGGTAATCTCTTCTTAGAGTTTGACACTATATGCTAATTGTGAATAGCCAATTTTGTGACCGATTTATTTTAATGTGTTTTTGCTTTAGCCATATTTTTCTGCTGAATGAATTTACCAAACGTTTCACTCTTTAGTGCACCTACATAGAAGTGGAGCAGGCCCCAAAGACTTTAGCTGTGATCTTGAGTCGTCCAGCCTGGTTGTGGGGGGCTGAGATGGGCGCTAACGAGATGGGGGTCTGCATTGGAAATGAAGCTGTGTGGACCAAGGAACCAGTTGTAGAACAAGAGGCTCTGCTGGGCATGGATTTGGTAAGGTGAGACTTGTAAACCTAGTGTGGTGGTCCACAGAAAATGACCACTCTGTCTTTTTAAATGGGTCCCCTTCACAAATACCTGTTACTGCCTCCAAAGGTTAACACCAACCAAGATCATTAACATCTGTGAATTGTATACTGCTAAATCATGTATGTACATGGGTGGAAAACTGGCTGCGCGATCAGATCCAGAGGGTAGTAATAAATGGGTAATTTTTTAACTGGGCAAAAGTTGTGAGTGGGGTGCCCCAGGGTTCAGTCTTGGGACCAATCCTGTTTACCTTATTTATGAATGACATAGAAATTGGAATACATAGTTCAATCTTGTTTTTTCCGGATTAGACTGGCAGTGAATTGTCAGCAAGACCTAACTTAACTTCAATAGCATGTAATGCCAAGCAGCGACCAGCAAAGCGAACAGGATACTATCCTGCATTAAAAGAGGGATTTTGGCAAGGGATAAGAACATAATATTACCCCTTTATAAATCACTGGTGCGGCCTCACCTTGAGTATGCAGTCCAGTTTTGGTCACCAACCCTCAGGAAAGTCTTCCTTGAACTTGAGAGAGTTCAGAGAAGGGCTACAAAATTGATTAAAGGGGATGGAAGGCTTGAGTTATGAAGACCGACTCCAGAAATTAAACGTATTCTCCTTAGAAAAGAGACGCTTAAGAGGAGACCTTGTTGCAATCTTCAAAATCATCAATGGGGACCTCAATATTCGCAAAAAGCTGTTTACACCGAGAACTGTATTGATGTCACAAGGTCACAACAAGAGGCTAGAAGGGAGGTGGTTCAATCTTAGACTGTGCAAAGGTTTTTTTTTACTGTCAGAGTAGTAACCATGTGGAATTCCCTTCCACAGTCAGTAGTATCTGCTGATAGCATTGATAGATTCAAGAAACTCTCAGATTAGTTTCTTAGTTCACTAAAAATACAAGTATATGGAACTACTAGAACCAAATATTTCCATACACACACATGCACGCACAGGCACATACATGGGTTGAACTAGAGGGACCTATGTCTTTATTCAACCTCATCTACTATGTTACTGTGCACTGGGCTGGACTTCACATCACACAGTACATGAGTGGCCAGCTACCTGGGGCATGAGCCATCCACTGGTCTGCTCTGCATCAATAAAGAGAACAGGGGTGGCAGACAGCATACTGCAAACATTGTGCAGTAACCACAGTTTTTAAGAAACATGCCGCTCTGGCCACCACCCCTCACGTGACTACATGTATTGCCGCCTGAGGCAAAAATCTCAGGTGGACTCATTGTCCTGTATGTGGGCCATGAAGTGTTGAAGCCAGAGGGTTAACCTGATATCCTTGTGCATTTTTCCTTCTCTCTACAGATTAGCACTGGAGCGTGCCACTTCTGCCAAAGCCGCTGTGCATGTTATTACTGAACTCCTGGCATGTTATGGTCAAGGAGGCAGCTGTAGAGAGGAGCCTGAGCCCTTCATGTACCAAAACACATTCCTTCTGTGTGACCGCCAAGAAGCATATGTACTTGAGACAGCTGGGCAGTACTGGGCAACCGAGAAGATCACTGGTGAGTTGCAGAATATTGAAAAAAGTACCCACACATGACCTTATGAAGTATTACAATGTATTTCCAGGCAGTATGTTTATTTTCATGCAAGTCTTCAAAGCTCTTTGCAACAAAAGCAAATGTAAGTAGTGTTTTAGAGTGGGTATGTCCCCAAAGTGACGAGGGAGCATAGGCCCAGCTTCCCGGCCAATCAGGAAGCCGGGGGGGGCGAGTCATTACCCGCCGCCTAGCATCCTGATTGGCTGGGAAGCCAGCTTCATGCTCCCTGGTGATGAGGGAGCATGGAGCTGGCTTCCCGGCCAATCAGGAAGCCAGGCAGCATGTAATGACTCGCCGTCCGGCTTCCTGTTACCGGAGGTTTTTCCAGAAGCCTGAATAAAACCTGTAGTAGACTTTCAGGAACCCCAGCACTGTTCCTAGGTTTACTGCAGTGATAATTCTACCTTTTGTCAATATACTGGGAAAGAATGAGGCTTTATTACAACAATGGGATCGATTATTTGATTATAGCAGACAGCCCCTCCGACGTAGCACTTCAAATGCACAGATGTGACACACAGTATTTCACTATCTACACCGCAGAACCAGGTAAGAATATGTCATGAGGTTTGTTAAGGTCTTTGCAATGTAAATGCAAACTGCCTTATAATGTTTTTAATAAAATGTCAATTTAAATTTGGATAATATATTCAATTATGAGTCATTTATAACAGTAGTTGAAAAAGTTATACAGAAGTTAGTGGAAGATACACATATTTGTTTACGTCTGAATGGTGCATGTCCTGCTCAGTTCCGTGTGTCATATAATATGTCTTTTACACAGAGGGGGCACGAAACATCTCTAACCAGCTAAGTGTGGGAATAGATATATGGCAGAAACACCAGCAACTCTGCTCACATGCCCTGGCAGAGGGCTGGTGGAATGGAACAGAAGAGTTCAACTTCAAGAAAGTCTATACTCTAGAAAAACAACCAGTACGTATGGAGGCGGCAAAGGCGCGATGCAAGGCTGGGCAAAATCTGCTGCAGAGGCAAGCAGGTAAACAGACATATGTTCTGCTAGAATTAGTCTTTGTTATAAGAGTGGTGCCCTCTTAAAACATAGCTCAACTTTTCCTTATAACCTGGCACAATGTAATATATACATACTACAACACCCTATTTTACAAGTCGCTGACTTCTCTAACTCCATGCCTATTCCAATGATGATTGATGTATTAAAGGCAAATTGGCTGTTCACTTTGCAGTGGAATTTTCACTTAGCTTGTTGAGCGTGGTAAAAAGTCACTTTGCAAAGAATACCTAATCACATGCAAGGAAAATAGGGGGGTGCATTGAGGAACCTGGCCTTGGGGCAGCAAAGAGAGTAAATCAGGCCCTGGATGCAGTCCGCCCTTCATTAGTACCCCTGACAAAGCCAGAAGGCACCCTGGTTGAAAACGGCTGCATTAACTAATGAAAATTCCCTTGCAAAGCTGAACAGCTTATTTGCCTTCAGTAAATCAATCCCAATGACTCAAAGTTTTGTAGTCAAAGAAGGCCAGGTAGCTGTTACAACCACATGTCAATTGTCTGGCTGTCCAGTGCAGAAAATGTATGTAAATACAACAAACAAATAGCTGAACAGAATTAAAAATCTGTTTGCAACTAAACATATAGTAGGTGTTTTTCATCTGTTTATTTGGCTATTTGTCTGAAAACAGAGCTAAATGTAAAATGCTTAATAGTTTTTTGCTAAGTTGGAGGAAACCTTTAAATTAGGCTCTAATATGGTACATGGTACTAGTAGCTTAATAAGGGGACAAGGGAGATTTAGGGGGTGATTTACTAACCTAAACACACGCACGCACCAGGTGTGTGTGATTTTCACACAGCAAAACGTATTTATCAACCAAAAAGTCTCTAAAAGCATATTTCCACTAATGCCATATATGGAAAAATCATGCACATGATGCATATATAATGCTGCTTCACAGTTTAGACAAAAATGGTTAGCTCATGCATTTACATTCCTGCATTCATCAACGCAAGCAACATAACATAGAGCTAATTTACACCACATTACCTTGCAATTCATTGCAGGGCTTTGCACAACACACCTGCTGGGTGTGTACACACTACAAAGGTGTTTCTATTCCTCCCATAGATCATGCTGGGAGGGAACACACTACAGAGGTGTATACACGTTCGTGGTGTGTTTAAAAGGTTAGTAAATCAACCCCTTAGAGTCTAGATCCTAGACAAAGCATAAAACAGTGTTATGATAACTATATACATCCCTTTTAGGGCACATCACATTTGAGTCAATGCTGGGCATTCTACGTGACAAGGACAGTGGAATCTGTATGGACTCTGGTGGATTCCGCACTACAGCCAGCATGATATCTATTCTACCCCAGTCTCAATTACCATGCATCCATCTGATCACTGCCACTCCGGATCCATCCAAGTAAGAGGCTACCTTTGACAAAATGAAAGCATACAATTGCAAACAGATTTGTACAGCTTAGGGTTGTTCTTTTTTTTTTTTTTTAAAGAAACCTGTACAATTAAACAGGTGTACAACCTGTACAAAAATAGGTGTAGAAGCAGAGATTACCTACAAAACTGCAAGCAATATGAATCCGTAGATCCCGAAATACAGACACCTAAAGTCATATGCTAGGATTAACTTAGCATATGTTAAATGTTGAGCTTGGCCTAGCTCTTCCCACTCCTATGCTTTCCTGTTAGATCTTTAATATTTCGGGATTTTGGAGAGGTGGGAAGGGATGAGTGCAAAATTGACTTGTACGGAAGTCGATATTTTTATATGATTTCAGCTGTCTATATCTCTGGAACTGCCGATTGTTTTGATATGTGTTTTTTACTAGGGATGCACCGAAATTTGTAGACCAAAACCAAAATAAAAACATTTTGTCAGGCCAAAACCAAAAATTACTTTTTTTCCAACCTTTTAAAAACATTTTTTTTTATTTTACTGTTGGGTGCTTTGGGGAAATATCAGGAGTTTAAACAGACCCCTGATATTTCCCTTTCAAAAAAGAAAAGGAGATTGAGGACAGAGTCCTCAATCTCTTTTTCTGCAGCCCCTGTTATGAATGAACAAAAAAAGCCTCTATACAGAGTGTACCTGTCCATTCACAAACTAAGGAGATACTATCAGTTACTACTGTATGTCCACAATCATGAATGAACAGGAAGTGCCGTAGAACACTTCTGATTTTTTCATAACTGGGGACACAGTAAGCATACTATGTCCTCAGTTATTTACAAACACAGCGATCAGAACTGATCGCTGAGTGTTTGTACTGTGCTTTCCATCCTGACTGCTCAGCCTCTTGTGACAGCTGAAAGCTGTCTCCTCCCCACACCGCCCTGCTCGATCTCCTAACAGTTTCTCTCCTCCCTGCTGGGCGCCAGTCTGTGGCCCCTCCAATTCCCGCTGCTCTCCCCCACCTGTGCCAGCAGAGGCAGGAGAGATCAGAGGGGACACAGACCAGTGCCCAGCGGGGAAGAGAGAAGCTAGGGATGCATGTTATTTTCAGCTGTTTTGGTACTATCAGCATTGTGCCTACAGTAGCATTTTCTGCTGAAATGTTTCGGTGGACGAAAATTCGGTGCATCCCTAGTTTTTACTAAAGGAAACCTCTGATTACGTCTTTTTTAACATTTGCTTTGATTGTTATATAGAATAATTTGTCGATCTTCAACATAGTAGGATGCATTTCCTTTACGCATCTGTTGAGACTGATCTTGTAGAAGTAAGATGCACTTCATTTTGCCAGTCCAATGGAACACATCAAAATGGACACAGTACAAAGCGTCATTTGAAAATCCACACTATTAGCAGTATTTGTATTTAGTACTGATTTTCCTGATCTGTCTACTTGTTTAGCATCATTGATACAGAAAAGACCACTGGGTTAGGATAATAACCAGACAACTAGAATTTTCAGCAACGACAGGCTTTTTCTCAGAAAAAGTTTACTTGAATCACTTGTGGACACTGGGCTCACTACACATGCAAAAAAAAACTTAATTCAAGTACACAGGGCTTGTGTAGTATGTCCTGCCCTTCTACCCAATTACTGCTCACCCCTTGCATTTGCCAGCAACTGCCGGCTGTCAAAATAACAGCCAGGTGTTCTTGTGTAAATACAGAAGACTTAGGGAAGCTGCTGTCAAAAATTGAACCTTCTGACAGTGTTTTTAAACATACGCTATTTAGAGATACAAAATAACATTGTATCTATTGTATTTGCTGTTGCATTCATCTGCCGATCAATGGGGTGAGCTTCAATCTGCATATGATGTAAATATTTATTTGTTCCTATTTAACCACTTATTAACACTTAGTTTATATTTCCTTCCCTTCTACCGTTAGCTATTAACCTGTTGATTTTTGTTTTGTCCCAGAATCATAATTTTACTGTCATTTTAAATGGGACAAATTATTGAAAAATATGTATACTTTTTATGTACAATAACACAATATTTTGAACACTGATTTTGTTTTTTTAAAGAATAATTTTTATCAACCCTTGCAGTGGGGCTTCCCCGCACTGCAAGGGTTAAGTGCTCGCTTTCATCTAGGGCTAAAAATTACAAAATTATACTCACCTGATTCTCTGAGCCAGCTTGCTCTTAGACCAGTCCCTGGAGCATCTCTCCCTCTCCGCTGCAGTGGTCTAAGGTCCCGAGTCATCACATACTATACACAGTGCATAGAACATGAGGACGCTGAGGGACATTCCATTGCTGCAGGGAGGGGAGACCCTGCAGGAACCGCTGTCACAGCAGGGTGGCTCATTGGATCGGGTGAGTATTTTCAGCCCTAGACCAAAACAAGCAGTTAACCCTGCAGTGTGGCGATAGCCCAACTGCAAGGGATAATAACAAATATCCTGTGTTTTCAAAAGTATACGTCTTTTGTCTATATAAGTGATAAAAATAATTGTTGTAAGACAAAGGAAAGCCTTGTTTGTTTTAAAATAACATATATGTATTGCTTTGTTATTTTAAAGTGTATTTCCACTTTTGCAGTCAAATTTGAGAAATTCTCATTGTATGTTTTTTATGTGTTCCCATTCACACAGCATACCTAAAAATATTTGAAAACATATTTCTTACCTTTTAGATGTTTCTTTGAAGCAGGCCTTGGGCACAATGCAATCGAATCGGAGCAATTTCAAAGTGAGTCTGTCCCCAGAGAAAGTGGGGGCAGAGCGAGTTTGCATTCATTAACAGGCAATGCAGACGTCAAGCTTCTTGTTAGGACAGTGAGTATTCAAATCTAGTTTACAAGAGAGGGCACAGTACAGACAAGGTTAATTATAGTAAACATTAACTCCCCACCTCCTGCCTAACATTGCATAGCAGAGTAACACTTCAGTTTTGGAGTTTTCACAAAAGAGCAAGTAAAATGTAATCAACAAATTTTAGTTATTTGTTAAGTTATGTTATGTGAATGAGCCACATTGGGAGGTAAAGTGGTGTTGTCCCAATTTGGCTGGAAAAGTAAAAATACTCTTTAACAAATTACAAAGTTCTTGCTGAATAAACAGGCCCATAGTAGAAATGTGAACCTTGCCCTGGTCAACAGAAGGCATACAGATGTGAGAGCTTAAGTGGTTAATGTCCTTTTGATCACCGATTGTCTAACGCTACATCCCTATGTTTGACGCAGGTCAGTGTTCAAGCCATTTGTGTTTAGTACACACGTTACACAAGTACCTTGGGTGTTGTCCCCTGTATTTGGTGAAAAAGACCCCGTCAGGCAGATTCCTCGGTTTAAAACACAAGTGGACAGGAGACATGAACTGTACAGGCACCATCAGAAGGCACTGGAGGCCTGTGAAGGCAATGAGGTATGATGTAGGCCACTAAAGGTAATTGTGACAGGCTGATTGTGGGGAGTGGTGACTGTAGTTAGATACAAATATCAGGCCACCCTACTTGACTTGAATGCAGATGGAATGCTCCTTAAATACCTTGTCATACAAATGTATTTAACAGATAACAAATAAGGACATTCACCTTCTAATAGAAACTTCCTACATATTGAGAGAACAATGCAAGTAGGCTTATAAAAACCACATGAGTAGATGTGGTCATAGAGCTAGATTTTTCCATTCAATCGAAGTACATAACCATATTATTGGCGGAGTTTAAACCAAGCAACTTAACAGTTGTAGGCTCAGATTAAAACAAATTAAGTAGTCAGACGGACACCCTATATGTACCAGTATTATTATTATACAGTACTTGTATAGCGCCAACAGTTTGTGCAGCGCTTTACAATACAAGGAAGACATTACAGTTACAATACAAATCAAGGCAAGATGGTAAGGAGGGCCCTGCCCGTGAGAGCTTACAATCTAAAGGGAGGAGTACGTGATACAAGAGATGGTAGCTGCGTGGGGATGAATTGTTTGAGAAAATAATAGTTCAGTGGTTAGTTTGAGGTGGGATTGGCTTCCCTGAAGAGATGAGTCTTTAGGGATCGCCTAAAGGCAGACAGAGTAGGAGATAGCTGGACAGGTTGGGGTAGGGAGTTCCAAAGAATGGGAGAGACCCTAGAGAAGTCGTGGAGGCGAGCATGGGAGGAGTTAACGGCACAGCTAGAGAGTAGGAGGTCTTGGGAGGAGCGGAGAGGACAGTTAGGGTGATACTTTGAGGCGAGGTTGGAGATATTACCAATATATACACTAATAGGTTTTATATGAGGCATTTACACAACTGTATGTTACTGTTAAAAAGATAATGTATTCACACCACAATTTAAAATCCAAATTTATTTTGTACATGTAGTTTTTAAATTGTGGTATTATCAAAATTTAGGAGGAAGAGGCAAGGAAAAACCTATGCATGATCCTTGGGAGGGTTTACTCAATGGAGAGGTTGGAGATATAGTTGGGGGGAGAGCTGTACATGTAGTTTTAAATTGTGGTATTATAGTTGGGGGGAGAGCTGTACATGAGCTGTACATGTCGTTTTTAAATTGTGGTATTATCAAAAAACCTATGCATTATCCTTGGGAGGGTTTACTCAATGGAGAGGTTGGAGATATAGTTGGGGGCAGAGCTGTGGATGGCTTTGTAAGTGGTTGTAGTTATTTTCTAGCAGAAAATGCACTTCCTGAAAGACTCATTCTTTCTGCTTTCAAATGTTAGAGTTTATCTAGGCTTCTCTTTCCAGACAAAATTATACGTCATACTACATTTTCTACACATCAGATTAGGTTTCCTTTACGCTCGTTGGCTCAATATTAACATATGCAGTCATGTATACCATGCCTAAAGTAATTTAAAGCAAATCTGTTTCTAAGCCCAATCTTTACATGTGTACTACAGGCACCCAGAGTTTGCAGACTCCCAGGGTACCTCCTCAGGAACAGTTATTGAGCTGAAAGCACCAATTGACACCTGCAGGTGCCTAGATTTACATTCCAAAGAAAAAATTGTCACCATTTCTTGCTGATTTAAACATAAGAAATAAAAATATATGCATCCAAATGAAAATATTTTCCTACCACCGC